GAACTTATATCGTTACATTCTATTTCTATTTTTTTTTCGCCAGTATATGTTGCCTCCCATGTGTGTGTTCTATTGGTGCCGTTTCATTCAAATTGATCTGTTTAGGAGTATGCGTATATCTCATCACTCCCTCACTTCTCATATTCCAGACTATATACGACATGTCTGATGTAGTGGCAGGCGGTGAATGATCGTTAAATAATCGCCTGATTAGTCCTAATTTCAACAAACTGAAAGCAACCAATCAGAGGGCATGTGAAACGCCTACGCACTTGTAAGATAACTTATACATTTACTTCTGTGATTGGTTGACTGTATTTTGCTGACATTTTAGGCAAGTTAACTAAGGGTGATTATCGCCTTTATATATCTCTATTGTCTTTTGTTGTATGGGAGCTGTGGGATGTTACTTTCCAGGCTAGAAAAAAGTAAAGTACTGAAAGTGATATAAGCCGTGTATCTCTGTTGATGAAGCTTACAATGTTGTAACGAGACTAATGCCAAGGCATTGTGAATTTTTATTGGTAGAATTAATGAGTCAGTAGTTTTTATTTATAGAGTTTGTGGAATTCATAAATTGCTTGTGTGAATGAATATTTTATTGTTCTTCCACGTGAGGTTACTGACGAAATGCTGAAATTTCTTAACACCTTGAGCAGAGATGTTGGTATTGTTTCGAATGTCATTCGCCCTTGTCAAACGCAAGGTGATGCTGCCGGACTGGTCTGTAGTGGTTCAAAGTCTAATGGTGTTGGTACTATCGACCAAAGGGTGGGTGTACTGCTTATCAGTCCACTCCGTCCTCCTTTAATGCTGTGAGACGTGGCCATTGAGAGTGGAAGACATGAAAAGGCCGGCTAGCTGTCTTTGTTCATAGGTGTTTGCTTACCATCTCTCGTGTTAAGTGCAAGTATAATAAGGTGAGCAATATTGAGGTAAGGCGTCGAGTTCTAGGTAAGCAGGGGAAATCAGTTGACGAGGTGGTGAAGTTACATCGACTAAGATGGTTAGGACATGCGTGCATTCCTAGTCATCGCCTTCCTCGGCGGGCAATGTTAGCTGATATAGGGTCAGTCTGGAAAAGGGTTAGCGGCGGTCAAACCAAAACATGGCCTCACCAGTCAATGAAATCTACAACAGTTAGTCTAAGCCATGTGGGAAGGTGTAGACTTCCTGGTTGGGGTCCTAGGGACGGTAAAATCCAATGGTTAGAAACAATTGGTGACATGGCTGAAAATCGTTCTCAATGGCTGGCGCAGATGCATCCACTCCTTGTGACTTATGATTTCCAATGAAACTATATCGTTCTTCGTTACTGCTATTCCTTTGTCTCACTTCTGTTTACTGTCTCTTTTATTCATTTCTTCTACTTCGGTTGCTCTGTGTGCTGCATGGAGTGTGGCGACTTGAACTGGTGCACATATGTACAAAGGTCTATGTCGAAAACAGACAGAATGGTAGTGGTGTGACTGAATGATGAGGGCTTCAACTTTTTTCTTGGGAAGTTGCATCAGCTTGATGATACAAAAACCTTGTTTTATATTCGCTGGATTTCGTCATCTCTGGGGTATAGATGTGATATCCGACTACTGATTAAAGCATGTGTGTACTGCACAGTTGCATGTCTCTCCGCCTTTATGACTGTGAGACATTGAAAGTGGAAGACGTGAATAGCCTCTCTGTTTCTGACAATAGATATTTCTGTTCTCTCTCACGTGTTGTTATCTGGCATAATATGGTGGGTAATGTTCGAGGTTAAACGTAGAGTGTTAGGTGAAGAGGATACGTCAAACGATGGGGTTATGATGGGGGGTAATTCGACTTAGATGGCTGGGACAGGCGTTACGTATGACCAGCCATGGTCTTTCTCGGCGAGAATCCTTAGGTGAATAGATGGTTAACTTTAAACCTGGCATCTTTCCATAAATTCTTTGACAATTGGTTTGAACCAGCCGCGTCGAGTTTATATGTGTCAAGAAGCTAGAGATGTGTTCTGTTTTTAACACTGTGAAAGTGTCATCCACATATCTCCACCACATTTTTGGAGTAGGGTTAAATGTATTGAGGGCACTATTTTCCCAGCTGTCCATAAATATGTCTGCTACGATAGGGGATATTGGTGATCCCATTGCTACACCTTCTGTTTGTCTATATATTTTGCCTTGGAACTTAAAGATAGTAGATGTGAGGCATAACTGAATCCCTAAAATAATTTCTTGAATGGACAGCTTTGTCCTATGACTGAGTTCTTGACACATATAAACTCACAAGTTGAGGGAATAAAATTCACATTTGAATCAGAAAATGAACTAGGAGAATTAGCTATGTTAGATTGTAAGATAAAAAGAATAGAAGAAGGCAAACTGCACTAGTGTTTATAGAAAACCAACGCATTCTAATAGATATTTAGACTTTAATTCGTCTCATCCTTTAACTGTTAAGGCAGGCTTAGTTAAGTGTTTAACAAACCGAGCAGCGGGATTAAGTAGCACAAGAAAAATATCTAAATGATGAATTAAAACAGATAGAAGAAGCGTTGGTGTTGAATAACTATCCTATAAAATTCATTAGGAAGATCATTAAAGGCCAAAAACAAAATAAAAAGAAAAATAATTGTGAAACTAGTAATAATAACATAAATAAGAAAGAATATAAGTCATCCACAGTTATACCATATAAAGAGGGAACATCTGAGACACTACGTAGGATTCTGAATAAAATAGGAATTAGGGTGGCATTTAAACCTACAAACTCACTCAGGGACAAGCTCTGTAGGTTAAAGGACCCAGTTGACCCAATTAGACAAAATAATATTATTTACAAAATACCATGCAATGACTGTGAGTGAGGTCAACTACATAGGTCAAACTAGTAGGTCAGGGGTATTTATTTTTACGGGATAGGGTTGCTAGTCTCCTCTCCCCTTTTCACAGGGCATACTACCGGCTAAGCGAGATGAAAGAGTGCGTTGGCTAGGGATCGAACCCTGTACCAATAGATTGGTTGGCCAATGGTCTACTAGTGAACCACCGGCGCCTGCACACAAAGTTAGAATGAATGGAAAAACATCAGGGAGATAACGACAAAGAGACTGAATGCGTTTACATCACTGAGAAAAATTTTCAGCCATATTATCAACAGTTTTGAGCCAATAACTCTTAGCATATTGAGGACCCTAATAAACTCTGTCAACATGACTGTCTCAAACCAACATTCAAAAGACTTCATGGATTTTATAACAAATTTTGACTTGATCGATTATTCTTCTATTCCCTTTGCAAAGTAATTCTAATGCCAGTCAACATTTCACGTCGGCAAAGGCTGAGGCTACGCAGGTGATAAGTTAGTATATAAAAGAGGTTACTTCAGAACGATCCTCATTAAACCAATATTTCTTGGTTTTAAATTTCAGTAATCTGTATGGCATAGAGAGTGACTGATTGGTTTCAACTTAGAACTTTACACAGATTTGCAGCAGTTTGACTCGCCACACTCCATGCAGTATACAAAGCAAGAAAAGAGAGATAACAAACAGAAGGCTTGTTTCACATATCCCAGTTTACGCCGTCTCTGGCGTAGACGTGATATTCGGCTGGTTTTTGACCAAACAATCTGTACTGCTGAGCAGTTTGTTCCGTCCTTTATATCTGTGAGTTCTGGCCATTGGAAGTGAATGACATGGAAGGGTTATGTGTATTTAATCATGGGTGTCTGCGTTCTATCTCCCGTGTGAGAAGGGCTGGTATAATGAAGTGATCAATATTCAGTTTAGGCATCGGTCGAGTGCTAGGTAAGGAGGGGAAACCAATAGACGAGGTTGTGAAGTTACATCGATTGAGGTGGTTAGTCCATGTGTTGTGCATGCATCCCTAGCCATCGCCTTCCTCAACGGCCAGTGCTAAGTGACACAGAATCAGGTTGGAAAAGAAGAGCTATTGGTGGTCCAACGAAAACAGGACTTTATCAGTCAATGAAATCCACAACAGTTAGTTCAAGTCAGCCAGCGAGTCACGTAGGAAGGTGTATGATTCGTAATTAGTGTCTTCGGGACGGTAAAAGCCAATGGCTGGAGACAATTTTTGTTGTAGCTGGCTCAAAATCGTTGTTCACACGGGCGGGCGCAGAGACATCCACTCCTTGTTCCTGACTTATCAAATGAAACTATATAGCTTTTCCATATTACTATACATTTTACCTCATATCTCTTTTTACCGCCTCTGTTTTAACTTTCTTCTTTTGCTTTGTATGCTGAGTGAAGTGAGCCGACTCGAACTGCTGCCCGTCAGTGCAAGGTTCTACTTTGAAACCAGTTAGTCAGTCTATCACTGCTATAGAGATTAATTGATATTATATTTATTCGTGTCTTATGTTCATATTATTAACATCAAGTAAATTCTTAATCTTAGATAATTCGTTTTGCTGGAATTTCGTCTCATTGTGTGTGTGTGTGTGTTTGTGTGTATGAAACAAAGTGATTCTACTGATATGAGAAAGTGAGAATTCTGGCCCGGCCAATAACTGCTACCTTGTCGTGGTGGTCGGGCTTGAATACCGTAATGACCCAACATGCTAAACTGACTGGGACTCTGTGCCTGCAGGTCCTACCATGTCAGGAAGGTTGTTTGGATAGCGGTTAAACTAAAAGCAGTTACCATGGGGTACGTAGGCTCCAGTATCCAATCAGATCAAATGGCGTATGAACCCATATGGGTCACCGGAAACCATGAGAACGCAGCTCCTGATGCTGCTCCGCTGCCTTGCAGATTAGACTCCAAGTCAAAGGCTCAGGGGGTGGTCCCTTAATAAAACCACCTATATATATATATATATATATATCTTCTTTCTTTTTTTCTTTTGATCTATGCTGTTTTATTATTATTGTGTGGCGCATCCTTCTTGGTGCCATATTGTACCAAGTTTTTATGCGTTTAAATAAATAAATAAATAAGAATTCTGTACTTATTTATTTAATTTTTCCAGTTAAAAGGTGAAGAAGAGATATGACTAATTCACCCGCAGTAGCAGCATTAGTGAATGATGAATCTATCTGGGATTCTACAGAAGAAGACGAATCAGTAGTAATTGCTGATCATGATGAAGTTGCCATCAATGGTGGTATGTACTCACTCGCATTAGCTTTGATATGGCAACATGACTAGTTTTATAGTTTCTCTTTACTGATTAGTGTGTGTCTGGGTTATTTTACTTCATTCAGTGTAAATCGATATGACGTTTTCTTGACGTAGTTTCTTATACTGTTAGTGTGTGCGGAAATTCTTAACTTGAAACTAGTGTGGCAAGAGTATTATTCGTTATTATTCCCTTGGGTTCCGAGTGGAACATAGGGCTTCAACAGGACATTTCCATCTTGTCCTATTCTCTTCAGTCGTGTTTAACTCGGCCCCACGATTGGCCATAAACTTTCATCTCTAAAATGTCACCTTCGGATGCACATCCTAGTCGAGTGATACCCTGGCTCATAATGCTTCATGACAGTCTTCTCGATTGTGTGTGTGTGTGTTTGTGTGACTGATCCATCTCTATTTTCCTCAGCATATATATTCGGCGATAGGTTCTGGATTGCTTTGTTTCCTAGTAGAGTTTCTTGTTGATAACTGTCGCTGGTCCTTGCCATCTGATCTTCAGTATGGGACCAGCGAAGTCTGTTGGAAATCCCGTCTATGACGCGTTTGCCAAGTTCCTCCCCGACCGATAGCTGTTACCTTGATGTGGTGGTCGGGCTTGCATATCGCGATGACCCCCAACAAGCTGCACTGGCTGGAGCCAATATTCCTGTAAGAATCTTTCTTACACTATGCTGGTGGTCTGAGGGTGAACAGGGGTGAAACAGCAGTGAGCCATGCCAGCCAACTATGCTGTCTCTCCACTCTCCAGAGAGAGAGAGAGTGTTAGAAAAGGTCGACCCCAAAAATTGTACATCCCGACTTACCCTGAGGTGATCCGTAACCGGCGATAAGTTTACTAATACGGAACCAATCCCAGAAACCAGTTCATACAGGCCGTGTATGAACGGCCTAGCTCAAGCAGTTGTCCCCTGGGCTCTACGGGTACCCGAAGAACTAATCAACTTTCACGGTGTGGGCAGCCGGGTAGTAATAGCCGCGCACACACTTCCAAAAGCATACGAAGCCTTTTTGAGCATCATTCTCCTTTACTCACATCACCCATATAGAAGAACTGACTGATTGACTGGTTTCACATTGGTGTGGAAACTGCGAATTTTTTTGTCTTTATGCTGACTGTGTGCAGTAGATTTCCAAAGGGTGTTTGAAGTTTTTCATGACATTTTTATTTTTTTTTTAGATTTATGTATGCCTATTCATATATAATAATAATAATAATAATAATAATATCTGTAACACTGTATGATTCAACTGAAACATAGTCATTCAGATAAATATTGTTAAGGTGTGTGTTGAGGCTAAAACATAAGGGTTTTAATTTTATGGATAACTATCGTCTCAGGTGTATTTCTGTAGTGCATCCGTGACCATTTCTATGCATAATCGTGAGAGAGTTTTCAATGTTAATCTCGTGTTTGGAAAGTAAAGAAGGAGAACAAGAAGTTCAGCAAAGATATCTTTTCGACACCTAAGGAGTCAAGTTGAACTAGATCCATGGTAAAGATGTTGAGGTTGGACTAGTTTCTTTTAAAACATATAGCTCTAGCTTTTCGATGCATATGGCAGACGGCTTCTGCAGTGTACAAAGAAGTCGAAAACACACTGACTGTCTTTGGTAGATTTTTGTTTAATTTATCAAAAAATGCCTATTAAAGTTTTTCAAAAGAATGGATACTGAACATGCGAATTTTTCAGAATATTTTCTAACCATCTAGCTGAAGCATGGTAGGCCAAATTTTGTATATCAAGTATTGGTCTTAACAGTACCCCCCCCCCCCCCGGTTTATGCACTTTGGGTAGGCCATACAATCTTGGCGTATACGTGCCCGTTGGTCTGATTTCTTCATACAAAACTTACAGAAAAGATCTGCTCCTCCCTTAGTTTCTTCAAATGTCTTGTTAATTAATTCATTCTCTATTTTGTTATTGAAATCTTTCTTCTTCTCCTCAAGTTTTTGAAACTTCTGTGTGTCTTTCAATATATATGTCATTCATCTTTTTTTTAATATAGTCACTTCTATCAAGGAGGACTACTCCTGATCCTTTATCCGGCTTTGTGATTATATCAGTCTCTCATCATTTACCAGTTTGCTTTTAGTTCTTCTCTGTGCTCCTTTGTCAAGAAACATTTACTGTCGCATTTGAGATTTTTGTACTGATAACAACAATCCACTCGACTGGATTTGAAGCATTCTAGTTCCAAGGTGGATGATTGAACTAGATCCCTTGTTTGACTAAATAGGTTTTCAAATTCAATATCAGTGTCTAAGTGATTAACTCGTTTTTGTCTATCACAAAATCAAACACTAAGAGAAAGTACTTCAAGTTGCACCTTCTTTAATTCAACACTACTGTAATTGTAGAAGTACTTCTTAGGATCTGCTGGAAATTTACCAGCCTCTGGCTTCTTTTCAAGTCATTTCATAAGCTCTATCTGCTTCTTCTGTGCTCTTTGTTCACTAACTTGAGAAACATATTCCATAAAAGGGGTTCTAATATCTTCTGGCAGTTCATCCTACCGCATACTGCCTGCGAGCGATATTCATTTCATTCTCTTGTATGTATGTATGTATGTATGTATGTATGTATGTATGTAGATAAAGAGTGTGTTTGGTTTAATGCATATCCTTTCAGCGTCCTCTTATTGGGATAAACTCTGCTTCGACGTAGAGACTTGTAATAAACTTTAGGATAGTGATTTGACTCGATGCAATTGTTAATGAAGTCCAATGTAGCCTTTGTTTCATTGAGCATAGCGCTATATCTCAGGTACTCATTGAGAACCTTCAATGCGACAGTAAATGTTTCTTGACAAAGGAGCACAGAGAAGAACTAAAAGCAAACTGGTAAATGATGAGAGACTGATATAATCACAAAGCCGGATAAAGGATCAGGAGTAGTCCTCCTTGATAGAAGTGACTATATTAAAAAAAAGATGAATGACATATATATTGAAAGACACACAGAAGTTTCAAAAACTTGAGGAGAAGAAGAAAGATTTCAATAACAAAATAGAGAATGAATTAATTAACAAGACATTTGAAGAAACTAAGGGAGGAGCAGATCTTTTCTGTAAGTTTTGTATGAAGAAATCAGACCAACGGGCACGTATACGCCAAGATTTTTGTTTACTTTGTAAATGACTTGTGAATGATGAGTCCGTTGAGATACTGTGACAGATGAGGTCTTCATTTATGTGGCTTCTGATTGAACCAGTGCCTCCTCTTTGCATACGTGCTGGTTAATATTCCCTATCATGTTTTGAAAGCATGTGCATAGAACAACCTATGTGCAAGTAAACTGATGTATGCATATTGGTGTGGATGATCCTGTACGGAAGTTTGTCTTTCACATCGCTTAGAAGCAGTGGGCGGCTGCAGAATATCACGCCTAGAGTTGCTGCAAGAAAGGTCTTGTTTTTAGACAACTGGAGATTCTCCTTTTTTAAGGGTAACTGCAGTCAAGTCTCTCCTGAAGTAGTCGAGACTCAAACAGTGTTTTGTTTGGTACTGAACTGCATTCTTCGCCTTTCTGTCTTAGTCTCATGTCCTTCTCCAAGAAACATGCAGGGTATCCATTTTGAGCCAGGACATTTTTGAGAAATAGGAGTTCTTCTTCTAAACAGTCATCGTTGGTACGGTGAGCTAGCGAGATGATGAGAGTTCTTTTATGGCTGATAGGTATCCAACTGTAGAAGTTTGTTAGTTGGCCAGCCCATGATGACTTTTTGTGTATAGATCTTTACAGGGTTCCATCATCTCTTCATATTGGTTCTTGTGTTTCACACCATTTAAGTGTTTTGCTGTAGTCGGAGTTGGCAGTCTGTCACCTGCATCTGTCAAGGTTTCACAGTTCAGTTATTCTTTTTATTCCAAGCCATCTGAGTATATTTTCTTTCATCTCCTCTTAATGTATTTGTGAGCTCAGTTTGGGATGTGACATAATCACTTGTGCATTTTTAAGACGTGTAGTGGAGCATGTTATTTGGCTTTTTCAATAATTATAAGCCTGACGACACAATAATGTTTTATAGATGGTAGAATTTAATCTCTGTCTTAAAATCATGGTATTTATTTTCCTCGTTGTAAAGTCGTCTGATGTAGACTCTTTTCCATGGGGCTGTAGGCTTAAAAATCAACTAAACTCTGCACCGTTATCGACAAGTGTATCGATCGGTATCTTATTCTCATCATATATGGCGGTTAGCCAAGTCTCTGTGGTCAGAAATTGTGAAAATTTAAATACTTTCCTGTCCTCCATGTAGGCTTTGTATAAACTGGCTACTGCCACCCTATTGAGCTATCCTCCATTCTCCGACTTAAAAGTATGTCTAGGTGTGCGAATTGGTTTGCGGCATACTTCCCTTACATGTAACACTGATGTGACTTTGTACAGAGTTAAGGCTATCTAGTTGACGAGTCATGTTTTTGCATACGTATTGCGTAACACAGTGATTCATGTGTATATGAATACTTGAGATTAGTGTATCACAGAAATAATACAGTGTGCTCTTAAGACAATATTAAAAACAGAGTGGATCTTGGTATAATCGTGATTACCTGTCAGCTATTATTATTATCTCCTTTAGTTCCTAGAGGAACACAGGGCTTCATCTACGCGTCTCCATTGCATTCGGTTCCCTGCCAACTCCTTCACCTGGCTCCACGTCTGCCCATGTCACTCTCGCACTGACGACCTACTCGCCGCTGCCCATTCGGGTTCTACTCGAGCGATGGCCTGGCATGTGATGTCACTCACTTGATGGTTTTTTTTCTCAGAGTATGGCCAGCCAATCCACCTTACTGCATTTCTTCCTGCATATTTGTTGCACAATCGGTTCCTGCTGCGTTGGTTGGTTCGTTCATTGCCAGAGATCCGTGTTTCTGATCTTTTCTGGCCAGCCATCTGATCTTGCATAGTAGTATTGAGCAAAGATAGCTGTTGATGAAGGTGTGTAGCTTGTTCGAAGTG